AAAAAAAAAAAAAAAAAAAGAAGAGGTGTCCCCTACAACCACGACGTTGGGGTTGGGAACACCCTTAAACCCGGGTACACGATGAACGTGACGGATGCGCTCAGGCAGCAGGAACGGACCCAACTGCTTAACATATTCAAAAGGTTCAAAGGAGATAAATGCCTTTTTTTCGAACAGTCCCTGCATATCATTCTCAATGTGGTCCTACACGATGATGATCTTAATAAAGAACACATAGAACATATATTCCTCCTGGACAATGAAACAGAAATTAATGTGAGCAAGCTCGACAAGGTTGAAAATGTCCTATTCTTTTTACGCCCCCATTTTTATGAAATAGAAAATGTCTTTAAGATAATTGAAAGGCTTGCAAAAAATGAAAACGATAAGTTAGGAGGGGGGCAGCCCATAGGAGGAAACACTCCCAGGGGGGACGATAATCCAGGGGGGGGTAGAAAGTATGCTCTTGTCTTCATTCCCTACATGACTCCCATGTGTGAAGCGGAAATCTTAAAGCATAATCTTCTTGACATACACATTCGTGTCATTGTCTTTCCTCTGTACTTCTTCCCACTGTACAAGGATGTCTTCAGCCTCGAGATAAAGGGACTCTACAAGGAGTATTACGTGGACGGCGATTTCACCAACCTCCTAATGTGTTCCTTCAGCCTTATGTTTTTACAACACCTCTTTCATGGAGTCTTCAAAAGTATAAAATCCCTGGGACCTTTATCACACTTCATAGTAGAGCAATTAATACAACTGAGGAAGGAAATTGTGTCGACCAACTTTGACATTCAGGCGCCAAACAAATTTGACGAAGACTTCCTAGACATAATGACCAATTTGCAAAACATGCAGGATGTAAGACACTTCCGCGAATCAGGACAACCACTCGTCATCCCGGTCAAGTACGCTCTGCATAAAATTTTCCTTTCGGAGCGCTCAAGCCGCGACACCCGCTCCACTCGACGCAGGAAAGGCAGCAGCAACAGCAGGGAGACGCTCGATAAAGGCAACCAGGAAGGGACCGCTTCAGGAAGAGAAACCCCCTCTGGAGGGAAGAAAAAAAATGGGGCAAAAAAATCCCAAACGAGCATGGGCACGGGCACGGACGCAGAGCAGGAGGAAGAAGACGAAGCTGAGGATGGTAGTGACGGTGATGAAGAAGAGGGTGGTAGTGATGGCCGAGATGAGGTGGAAGACGACGATGTTGCTGCTCATGATAACCGCCATTTTGATGACGGTGAGAACAACCAGCACCATTGCGATGCGTCAGAGCGAGCGGAACACCCAACGGTGGAACAAACAGCAATACGAAACGAACAGTCCATTAAAAGGGAAATGCCATCAGAGGAACCACTCTTACAAACGGGAGGAGTGCCAGACGAACAGGCAAATACCGATTCTGCATCGGACCGGTCAAGGAACTCCAAAGAGAGACTCAAAAAAAGAGACACCTCCAACAGTCGTAGGGACGCAAATACAAGTGCAAGCTCCTTAGGAAAAAGTGTTCTGAACAAGGAGGACGAAATGAACCCCAGTACAGGGCCTAAAGCAGGGGAGATAAAGGGACCCGTCAAAGGGGAACCAAGGAAGGGAGCAAACCCACGTTGCCATCCCTCCAAAGGGAAAACTAAAAGGGTAATTAAACCATTGGAGAAGGAAAAAAACGACTCAGAGGAAGAGGCATGTGCGGTGGACGAAGACTACGAGGAAAGCAGCTCAGCGAGCACGGGGCCTAACTTCATGGCCAAGGAAGACAATACAAATTTCTTATTAAAAAAAAATGAAAAACAAAAAATGGAACGAAAAAATAAAAGGGAGAAAAACTACCTACAGGAAAAATTAGGGATATCGAATTTTAATTTCCTCCTTAACGTGTGTAACAAAATTGATACCTGTGTAATCATAGATCGGAAGGTCGACATGGTGACTCCTTTTTGTACACCCTTCACATACGAAGGCCTACTAGACCACCTGTTTGGTATCTCCAATTTACAAATAGAAGTACCCAGATACATTATTTTTAATGAAATGAATAATGCAGGGGCAGAAACCAAAGGGGAAAGAAAAGAATACGAAAGCCAACAAAACAAACAAGCCCTAAAAAACATGATGGTCAGAATAAAGTTGAAAAACTCTGTAGATGTTCTGTACAATGATATAAAGGACCTGAGTCCAAACCAAGTAGGGCTATTCCTTCATAACAAAGCTAGCGAAATACAAAAAACATACAAGGAAAAAGACACACTAAAGGATATAGAAGAGATAAATAATTTTTTAAAAAAAATTAAAGTGAAACATTTTGAACACAATTCTTTATCGACTCATGTGAATCTCGCTTCCTTTATCCTATCCACAATGAAAAAGGAAGCCAATTTTAACAAACTCAAATTGGAAGACGAAATAATTCAATTGAATACAACCTCCAATAGGACCACTTTACATAACATCGTTCAACAAATTCAACTTCTTATATACTCCAATGAAGACATATATGAAGTGTATCGACTTTTGTGTCTCTTCTCCGTTGTGACAAACGGCTTCAGTGAAACATTCACAAATGAACTCAAAAAAGACATTCTTGAACATTATGGCATAAATGAACTCACTCGTATAAATAAATTACATGTTTGTAATATTTTAAAACATCAGTCCAAGCAAAAATTCATTTGGAGCCATCTTAGAAACCACTTCAATCTACTGTCAAATGAGCAAAACGATATTTCATACGTTTGCAATGGGTACGCTCCTCTTTCCGTTAGGCTAATAGAATACATGGGTATATTAAAAAACAACATGCAGGCCTTTCCAGAGATATTTAATCTTTTAAGCGGACCTACCCTCGACATTGTGCAAAATGCCGTTGGGTATGGCAAGTTTGGAGTCGACAAGGGGAAGAACAAGGTGCCCTGGGCGGAAGACGCCGAGGGACAAAAGGACATTGTCCTGCTCTTCTATGTGGGAGGCATCTCCTACGCGGAGATCGCGGCTATTCGTAACTTGAATAGGCACAGCCACACCTACCACTACTTGATATTCACCACGGAGGTCATCAGCTCCAGGCGGCTCCTGCAGGGGCTCGCCGCGCCCTAGTGGGTCC